GTTGTCATGTGAGCAGATGGCTTCTGTGGTAGATACTGCTCTCTGTAGGACCCAATGGCTACCCAGAAAAGTCTCGGGTGTACATTTGTCAAGTGCCAGGTCGCCCAGATGAGAGCAGGTTTCTGGATAGGGGACAGGCACCAAGGTGAGTGAGATGAGCAGAAGAGGCACTTCAACAGTGAAGTGGTGCTGGCAGAACCCCAGGGCAGACAGGAGCTTTCACAGCCAACTAGTTTGGAGACCCTGGGCCAAGCCTTGAGGAGGGCACCTGGCTTCTGGCAGGACTCTGCCAACCCCTGTGCCAGGTGTGAGGCTTTGATGGCCTCTCTCCCAAACCTCACTAGCCTGGAGAATGTCCCAGAATCCTGACCAAAAAAAAAAAAAGTGCCCCTTAACAGGTACTGATGTGCTCAGCCAAAGGCCCACCATGTCAGAGTGGCAGACCTGGGCCCGCCATTAGTGGCATCGCCAGGCTTAAGGCCTCTGTGCTTCCAGCAAGGCCCAGCTTCCCAGACCCTCCATCTCGTCTAGGGCTGGCAGTTCCTGAGCAACTTTCCAGGTCTTTGGGGAGCACCTGTAAAAGTTCAGGAGGGCAAGGAGTCTGGGTAGGAAACAAAATGGCCACTTCCCAAGAGCCATCTCCAAGGTGGGGAAAGGAAGGCAGACAGTGGCCTGCTGGTGGCCCTGAGCTAGTACTGAGTGCCTTGGGGTTTGGGGTGGAAAGGGGGGCATGAAACAGATTCAGGGGCAGGGGCACAGAGGAGAGGGTGAGGGCTGAAGCTGACCTGCCACCTCATCCTAAGATTTCCGTCACAAGCATACAGGACCTGGGCAGATGCACCTGGCTGCTCCAGAGTTTTAGGACCAGCTGTGCCCTTGATTTTGTGACAGGAACTTACACTTGCTGAAGTCACCTTCAAGAAGTTTCTGCATTTTATTCTCTAGCCTCTGGGAATAAGGAGGGACACCCTGTTTCAGAGGCAGAGCAGGCCCATGTGTTAAAGCTCCCAGCACATCTTTGACAGGACATCTCCTGGCCATTTGCTTTCTCTCTTCTTGCAATGGGTGAGTCTTGTTTCTTGCAAAGCAGAGGTGCTGTGGGAGGGTTGGGTGGGAGCTTTGCAGGGGTGAGGGGCAGCACTATTCAATCCAAATGTTTCTCTCCCCCATCCTTTCAGCCCTGAGTCACTAAAGCGCATGATGGTGGGAGAAGGGTAGTTATCCAACATTTTTCTAGAAACTCCTCTGAGTCAGCTCACCAAGTCTTTGCCAGAGTCAACTGAGTGCCCAGGCCATGCCACAGCTGCTCTGCTTTCTCTCCAAACAGGAAGACTACCCAGGGGTCTTGTTGACAAGCCAGCCCCATCTTTTTAGAACATTTTTCATCATCTGTCCATTTCTTAGAAATGGTCTCATACAACTGGCAGTGGGGAGCATCAAAGAAGCACAGGGGCCAGCGGCAGGGACCTGCACATAGTCTCATATCCTGGCCTGCATGGTGTTCGTTTGGCTAGTCCAAGCTCAAGTCTGGAGAGTGTGGCTCCCTGATGCTGAAGAGGTGGGCCCAGTGGGTGCTGCCCACAGTACAGATCCAAAAGGCCCAGGGTCCAGAGCAGAGCTCACAGCCTCCACTTAGTGGGGTGGGCTGAGCTGCTGCTGAGGCTGAAAAGGCAAAGCAGAGCAGCGAGGCCCAAGAACAGGGTGGGCCTGCCACGCTGGTGGCAGTAGAACCTTCCCAAGCTCATAGATCATGGCTTGGAACTGCAGCAAAGCCAGAAAGGCCCATGGAAATCACATGATCCATAATGTACAGACTAGGAAGTTGAGGCCCAGAGTTGGGACAGCAACTGGGACTCCAGAGGCAAAGCTGCTGCCCTCCTCTCTTCTCCAGGAGTAATGACTCAGGTTGATGCAGTGCTGCCGTAGACATGGCCAGACAGCCAGGCCTGCCTTGGCTGCACCATCCATGTAGCGGCTGCTGGCATCCCAGCCCTGCCTGGCCTCCCCATATTCTGCTCTCCCTGAGCCAAGAAACCAGCCCTCCACAGCCCATGGCCTCCACTCTCAGCTTCTCCCCACTGCAGGCAGGAGCCTGGCTGCCCACTTCTTGCCAGGAAGGCAGGGTCAATGCCTCTGTTCACTTTCTGCTCTCCCCCTCTCCCACAGCATCCAGCCAGGCCTGGCCCTGTGGGCTTCTCTATTCAGCCAGCCTGAGCCCCAACCAGCCTTGTCACCATATTATTGCATAACCACCAGGATACCACTGCCTCAGTTTCCCTGGCTGTAGCATGGGAACCATCTTCTCTGACTTCCAGAACTAGAGTAAGGATAAAATGAGGTTCTTCACAGGAATGCTTGTGACCTTTGCTACAGAGGAAGCAAACGGGACATGGTGACAGTACCCTATTCCCACTAGCTCCCAGCCCCTCCCCTAACGTCCGGCTCTACCTCTCCTGGATACTGAGGCTGAAAAGCTATTACTATTAGCCAAAATGATAGGAGACAGTGCAGGGGGACCTGGGGGAGTTGAGGCATTTGCAGCGCTGTTAGACAGACATTATACCGTTCCCAGTGTGGGAGTGGCCCCCAGGTCCACCCTGTGCCAGGTCCGTGATGGGCCTCTTCGCTGGGGTACCAATGTAAACTCTGCGATGCAACGCCCGCTCCCCCAGGCCCAGCCTAGGTCAGGTCTTCCCACCCCGTTCCCGCGCCCCAAGCTCGGAGGCCCTCACGTAGCAGCGCTGTTGAGGGGCATACACCGCAGGGCGCGTGGGGCAGGACAGGCGCACAGGGCAGAGGCTAGCAGGTGGGAAGAAGGGGGCGGGGGCGTGGGAGACGTTAGGCAGGCCGCGGTCCCTCCCCGCTTCCTCCCTGCGTGCGGCGGACGACATTGCCCCTCCTGGGCAGGGGGCGGAGAAGACCAGAGGGAAGGAGGCGGTGGCAGAGGCTGAGGAGGCGGTGGCGGAGGCGGGATTTGGAGTTTCCCTCCGCAGCAGCAGCGGCGGCGGCCCCTCAGCTCCAGGCGAGGCCGCCGCCTGGGGCTCCGGTAGCGTTCGGCGGCGGCAGAGGCGCTTCCCGCCGCCTAAGCTTCGGAAACTTCCCGGCCGCGACGCACAGAGCCAGCGCAGTGAACGGAGCGCAGCGGAGGTGAGCAAAGCACGCGGCTCCTCGGGGCCCCCACCCTACCCCACCCCCATCTGGTCTGGCCGCCCCCAGACGTGAGCTCCTACACTGTGCACCCCCAAAGTCCTGCCAACGCATGCCTCACAAGGCCAACACACGCACCCCTGTGAAACCCATTCGGTCATGTCACCACACACCCCCGCACCCCGCCCGTACCCCTCCGGTGTCCGCTGTCACTTACATGGTGTACACAAACCACGCACCACAGACCCTGTTCCCTATAGTTCACACACTAGTAGCCCCTAACCTACCGTTCAACACTGTCCCCAACTCACGCCAATATCCATCTCAGACCGGGCCACGCCCCAGTACACACCCGGCGCGCACACGCTTCCAGCCCATCTCTGCTATACCTGCACTAACCTAGCGCCCCCCACCAGGCCCCCATCAACTCACGGTTTCCATGTGCCCATTCTAAACACCCTACCCACCTTCCCAGCCCAGAGACGCTGCTGTCCGCCCACCCCAGAGCAGAGTGAAGTCCCAACACAAACCCCACACCCAACACCGCTCGCTCTCTACTCCCCAGCATGCTCACACACCTGCTGGATCCCACGCTCCCCAGCATCCTGCCCCGCCCCCACTGTAAATCCCCTCCGACACCCCCAGCCCATCCATGAGTCCCTCCCACCACTCCCCCTCCCAACACCTGGCACGCGGGCTCTAGAGGCTGCAGCATTTGGTGGCATCCCTGCCAGGCACCTCTGGCTCTCCTTTGGCAGCGGCTCACCAGCCTGGGCCCCCAGGTGCCTATCTAAACAGACCTTGAGACTCCCTGGCGACTGAGTTGGCTTCTTCCCTAAAGGAATAAAGAAGGCACTTTGGGCCCAAGGTAGGGTACTTAAGATGTGGAGGGGGGCGGGGAGGAAGCAGAGAGAGGCACTGAAATGGAGCCGCGGCGCAGGTGGGACCACAGGGGCGCCAGTGGCCGTCATGCACGTAGTAGGTCGGCTCCTTGAGAGCTGGGGTCCACGTACACTGTGTGCCCGTCTGCGTGTATTGGAGAGGGCTGTGTGTGCACGTGTGCTTGTGCGTGTCTGGAGCTGGGGGAGGAGTGCCTGATCGGCAGAAGGAAAAAGCAGGAGAAGCACCCTCCTGGGCTCCTTCAGGCAACAACTGGTTTCATTCATTCATGCCTTTGTTAACAAGCATTTCTTCCGTGAGCACCGGGCAAGTGCCAGGCCCTGCACTGGGGGCTGGGGCCAGCTTGGGGCCGGGCACACACCCATTCCTGCCTTGGAGGAACTCCCAGTCCCGCGAGGAGACCAACCAGGAAAAGCAGAAAGCCATCCCCAGCGGAAAGTGGATTTGGTGGAAAAGACACTGGGTTTGGCAGAAACGCAGTCGCTGGGAGTTGTGCTCCTGGCCATGTGACCGGGCCGCAACTGCCGAAATCCTGCCACTCGGCCCGGCGGGAACGGTGCATTTCGGGGGGGTGGTGAGGGAAGGCGAGGAAGGTGGGCCGCCGTGCTCAGGAGGCTCCCGGGACCGGAGGGCGCACACCGCGAGCGCTGGGCCTGCGGGCGGCGGCGTCCCCGAGGCCTCCAGGGGGGCGCTGCCTCTGCCAGGCGGAGGCCGGGGGCGCCCAGTGGGGGCGGGGGCGGCGGGCACAACGCCCACCCTGCGGCGAGCAGCGAGCGCGCGGCCTAGCTCCGCCCGCCGGAGGGAGCCAAGCGAGGCCTGGGCGCGCGGCGCTGCACCCCCAGCACGGAGCACAGCCAGCCCCAGGAGCTGCCGCGGGGCGGGGCCAGCACCCAGAGCAGACGCTGCAGGGGGCCTGAGTGGGGCGGGCCGGGCAAGGATGGGGGGGGCGGGGGTGTTGGCTGCTCTGAGCCCTGCAGTGCGGAGGTGGCAACAGGTTCCCGTTTGTCCTGTTGCTGGCGCTGCCGGTGCTGCAGGCGCTGCGCATTGAGCACTGTCGAGAATGACCCCTCATCCCCTACTCCCCAGTTCTTTCCCTGGTGAGAGGGCTTGCCAGTGCGGGTACGGGTAGGGTGCAGGGGAGCCACTCCTCAGTCTTCCCCTTCCTACACCATGGCGTTGGCTGCCTGGCTTTCCCCATCCTCCACTCCAGCCCAGCTCCCTTCACTTCCTCCAGGCAGCCTTCTCCAGAGAGCAGCGCAGCCCCCTCAGGAGCTCCTGTCTCTCTGGGTTGTCATCCTCCTCAGTGACACTGAGACAAGACAGGTGGGTTACGGCCACTCCTGCTCCCTGACTGCCATAGCCCTGTGCCACTCTTACTATGCACAGCGAGGCTGGCACATTTCAGAACCTGCGTGCTCAGAGGCTCTGCCCCAGGAGCACACTAAGAAAGAGGGGAGTGAAGCATAGAGAAGGGAGGCTTACAGGCTGGCCCTGATACAGGAAGGCTGCCTGGAGGAGGGCACCTCGGAGGGCATGAAGAGTGAGCAGAATCTGGGCAGGTGGCCTGGGGTCATGTCCACAGAGCAAGAAGAAAAGGAAGTGCATAGCCCAGGTGCTCAGAGCCACTGGTTGCAAGCCTTGGGACTCATCCTAGAGTCAGGGATGTGGTGGGGTGTGGCCAAAGACCAGCCTTCTGCCAGAGTCCTAAGAGTCCCACATTGATGGGCCATTGTGGAAGAGGGAAGGAGAAGAGCAAACTGGAGGCCCCTTGGAGGTGACCTAGGTTTCTGTAGCCTTTACTGTTCCTCTTACCATTCCCGCCTCCACTTTCTCATCTTAATCTATGGTTCACGAGAGGAGTTTTCAACAGACATATGACAGACTGGACTTGATTTTTCTAAATGCTGGACTTCTAAGTTGCTTTGCATTTTTCACTCCTGAGAAAAATAGTTTGTGGTGCCTATCCCCATGTACATAGTTTTGCTTTCTTTTACTTTAGTTCCTTAGAGTAAAATTCCTGAAGTGGGCAAAGGGTTTGGATTTTTTTTCCTAGTCTTGATATTGTCAGATTAATTTCCAAAAGGGGCGATACCAGTATGCAATCCTCCAGCACCAGAGTAGCATGGTTTCGCAGCAACCTTGCCAACACTGAGTGTCCTCATTTTGAGAACATTTCACTAATGTAGTAGGTGGGATGTGTTACCTTGTTTGCAGTTGTTACCTTGTTTCTTAAATTTGCTTTCCGTCCACGCCTGAGGTTGAACCTTCTCCCAAATATTTTTTACCTGGTTGCACTCCCTCCTTCATGCAGTATGCAATCTTTTCGGGTTCCTTGCTCATTTATTTACCAGGGTCTTAACCTTTCGATTAATTTGTATGAGTTTTATCTTATCTGTTGTACATTTTTCCTTCAACACTGTTATTCGCTTTTGCTGAGCTTTAAGCAGAGAAGGGACATTTAGCCACATCGGCTTTTTAGAAACCTCCCCCAACCCCATTTCATTGTCTCAGCACTTATCATACCTGATAGCTTGTCTGCCCTCCTTGCTGATTGTTGATCTGTCCTGCTAGACTGGAAACAGTGGGCAAGTAGGGGCTTTGTGTGTCCTATCTGTTCATTGTCCTCTGCCCACAGAGGCCAAGGTGGGAGGCCACCAGCCTTTGTTGAATCAGTGGCATTCTGGCACAGGGCAGGGTGGAGGGCAGACTGTTTTGGAAGATGTGATGATGACCTAGCCAGGAGCTGGTGAATGTGAGCACTTGCCAGTCCAGGGGACAGAGGGGAAAGCACAGATGTGAGGGATATCTAAGTAGAAACTACTTCCCTCCAGATTGATCTGTTGAGGCTGATTAAGAGAAGGACGCAAAGGGAGGAGCCAGGGGTGACTCGGAGCTCCTGCGTGCCTTTGGCTAGGCTTGTGCAAATGAAAGGGTGAGGATGCCCAGGAGCTGCCCTCTGCCTGCCTAGCCCCCCAGTCAGCCTTGAACAGAGCTCTAGGTTGAAGGCAACAGTAGGTTTCTGATCCTGCTTCCTCCTCCCCTCCATGATTTCAGTGGTATCCCCTGGTAGCTCAAAGTGGTGGCTGTGATGAGCCCATTATACAGATGGGGCCTCTGAAGTCCAGGCAGAGGATAAGATGGTCCAGGATCCCCGGGTTAGTTGGGTTGGAGGAACTTCTGGAGCAAGGACCCAGGCTCTTGTCCTCACTCCTCCCCCTGCCTTCAGGGCCCAGGCTCGCGCCGGCCAGGGTAGCTACAACTGGTCCCCTGCTGGGCCCCTGACCTGCCCTTGGCCTCTGCCCCGACCCTGTCCCTCCTGAGTGGAAGCCCCAGCTCAGCTTGCTACTCACAGGTCCCACCCGATGCTTTCGCTAGCACCCGTTGGCTCACCGGCTCCCCGAGCCCGCCCTGTCGCCCCGCCCCGCCCCGCCCCTCTGAGCTGCAACTCCATGTCCGAAGGCAGAGGCTTCGAAGGTGGAAGCTGAGTCCGGCTGCCAACAAGCAGCCGGCGCTCGGGCGGCGCGGGGCCCGGAGCTCGGCTTCCACGTGCGAGCTTGCCCCGCCCCCTCCCGGCGGCCGCGCCTGGGGACTCTCTGCCCACGGACAGCGCCTTGCCGTGGCAGTGGCCGTGGCCGGGACGTCTACGAGCGGCCGGCCGCCGCCGGATCGCGCTCCAGGTCTCTCTCCTTTTATTCTCTCCGGGGAGGAAGGGGGTGTCAGGGCAGGGTCGGCTCAATGAGGGCTCGCCAAGGCCCATCACCTTGGCGCCACCACTGTTCTCCGGCCCACCTGGCCACGAGGGACATCCAGACCTTGAACACCCCCCACCTTCACACTCACACACCCCCAAAGTGGGAAGCTTGAAATTGGAGAGTTATCACGTCAGGGCGAGATAGAAGCCGAAAGAGGGTGTGGAGGGCGGTGGCCTTGGGGCGCCCGAGGACGAGCCCTCTTCGGGGAGACCCCTCACGTTTCCCTTCCCACGGGCACTCGACTGGCTGCCTCGGGTGTTTTTCCCGGGGCGCCCTTCTGCCGGTCCTCATTGCGGGAGGAGCGCGAGAAAAGAAGCAGGCGGTAGAGGGGTGTCCCTGCGGGACCCTGGGCGCCAGCTCAGGGACACGAGGCTGGCTTCACGTCTTGCACCTAGGTTCCGGGCTGGGCAGAAGAGTCCAGCTCACGCCGCGCGCTTCCCTCTCTCCGCAGCGCCCTCGGCCCGACGTGCAGGCAGCCGCGCGCCCATGGAGGGCCTGGGCCGCTCGTGCCTGTGGCTCCGCCGGGAACTGTCGCCCCCACGGCCGCAGTTGCTGCTCCTGGACTGCCGCAGTCGCGAGCTGTACGAGTCGGCACGCATCGGCGGGGCTCTGAGCGTGGCCCTGCCGGCGCTGCTGCTGCGCCGCCTGCGGAGTGGGAGCCTGTCGGTGCGCGCGCTCCTTCCCGGGCCGCCGCTGCAGCCGCCGCCGCCCGCCCCGGTGCTCCTGTACGACCAGGGCGGGGGTCGGCGCCGGCGCGGGGAGGCGGAGGCCGAGGAGTGGGAGGCTGAGTCGGTGCTGGGCACGCTGCTACAGAAGCTTCGGGAGGAAGGCTACCTGGCCTACTACCTCCAGGGTAGGTGTGGGCGGCCAGAGCCAGCCAGGGGAGGATCCGCCCCTAGGGAGGCAGAGCCATGCCCTGCCAGGAGAAATGCGATTAATTTAACCTTGGGCAAGGCTCACCTCATTTCCTCTACAGGGGAGGTGAGACTGCCTCCCCTGCTAATCCACCAGGCTGTTTTTGAGGGAGGAGAGCCTGAGTATGATCTCTGGCAAGTCCTTCATCCTTGGAAGCCCTAGTTTCTGAGTCTGGAAAATGGGAGGAATTGGACAGACCTAGTTCACAGACCTAGTTCACAGGCTACTCAAGAACAAAGTACCAAGCATGGGCTCCTCAGTGTCCCCTTGATGGTATCTCCCCTCCCACAGCTGCTGACCACAGTAGGGACCTACCTTCCACTCCCACATCCACAGTCCTGGCAGGGCTGGGGGTGAGTCAAGGGAAAGCTGAGCCAAATGCCACCCCTGAGGAGTCCAGGGCAGAGAGAGGGTTTCCATGAACCTATAGAGTCAGCTGTCGCCAAGAAAGGTCATTACGCTGTACTGGGGATATATAATACATAAAAGTGTCAGGTTTCCAGGTTCACCCCCAGCCCAGAGAAATAATGCTACCTATAGATTAGAGAGATACTGGCATCTTGGGACTTTAGAACCATTCAAGTAGAATATCACATTCTCTGCCACACTCCCCATTTCTTGGAGTCCCACTTCATCTCTGACAGTGCTGATATCCCTGACAGGAGACACCTAGGCAGAGAAGTGCCATCTGAACCCTTCCTCTTGTTTAACTGATGGCTGCTGTCCATCCTGAGGCTGCTAGTAGTACATCAAGACTCTGCTGAGCCCTCATACCTGCCCCAGCCCAGCCCTGGGGATGTAAGATCCTCTTGGGTGGCATTGCATGGGGGTGTTTGCCATACGAAGGAGTGGCCAGCAGTGCTGAGCGTGGGTACCCACAATCTTCCACATGTGGCCACCAGTATAGCTCAAGCTGCTGGCTTTTGTGTTCCCTTTGCGGACATCTGCAACCTCCCTGAGTTGTCTAGGGTAGGGTCAGCTCCCTATCCGAAGCCAGGGGCATTTGGCTTTCCAGGAGACCAGGTCACCAGGACCCGCTCCCTCTCCTCCACAGGTGGCTTCAGCCGTTTCCAGGCCGAGTGTCCTCACTTGTGTGAGACCAGCCTCAATGGCCGTGCTGGCTTGAGCATGGCCCCAGTGCTAAGCCCAGTGCCTGTGGTGGGGCTAGGTGGCCTGTGCCTGGGCTCTGACTGCTCTGATGTGGAATCTGAAGCTGACCGCGACTCCATGAGCTGTGGCCTGGATTCAGAGGGTGCCACACCCCCACCAGCAGGGCTGCTGCCATCTTTCCCTGTCCAGATCCTGCCCAACCTCTACCTGGGTAGTGCCCGGGATTCGGCCAATTTGGAAAGCTTGGCCAAGCTGGGCATCCGCTACATCCTCAATGTCACCCCCAACCTCCCTAACCTCTTTGAGAAGAATGGCGACTTTCACTACAAGCAGATCCCCATCTCTGACCACTGGAGCCAGAACTTGTCCCAGTTCTTTCCAGAGGCCATTGCATTCATTGGTGAGTCGGCTTGCCCTCCCTTCTGACCTCTCCACCCTCAGGCCAGGCTCCTGCCTCTCCCATTTCTCCATCCTCTCCCTCATGACAGTTCCTCCCAGGCTTGGCTGCCATCCTCAGAGCCCAGAGCCAGGATAGCACCTGTGGGGAGGGGTGGGGGAAAAACGGGGGAGGGTAAATCTGAGGCAGCTCCTGGAGGCTGCTGGGGAAACCAGCAGGGCAGCCTGACTCAGAGGGCAGGGCGAGGGCTTTGGAAGGCTTTGCCTCCCTCACGATGGCCCTCGGGGTCTCCCCACCCTGCCTGCCCCACCTAGATGAGGCCTTGTCCCAGAACTGCGGGGTGCTCGTCCACTGCCTGGCAGGGGTCAGCCGCTCTGTCACTGTCACCATGGCCTACCTCATGCAGAAGCTTCACCTCTCGCTCAACGATGCCTACGACCTGGTCAAGAGGAAGAAGTCTAACATCTCCCCCAACTTCAACTTTATGGGGCAGCTGCTGGACTTCGAGCGCAGCCTGCGTCTGGAGGAGCGACGCGCCCGGGAGCAGGGCAGCGGGGGCCAGGAGTCCTCCACGCGCGACCCGCCCTCCTTCTTCACCACCCCCCCGGGCGACGGCATCTTCCAGCTGGACCCCAGCTAAGGCCCCCCGCGGGGCCCAGTGGGCGTTCCCGACGACGGGCGGCAGCGGGGGCGGGGGTGGGGGAGCACGCAATACCTCACCCGGCTGCGGAGGGAGGTGGGAGCCCGAGCGCGTGCCCGCCCTGCCCGCTCGAGACATCCTCGGGAATCCTGCGAAACGTGCCTATAGGCCGGGCCAGGGCCGCTGGCCTGACCCATGCCCTCAGGCGGGCGGGACCACGCTCCAGAACCTGCCTCTTCTGCGACTGTTACTTTTTTCTTTGGGGGGTGGGGTGGGGATTCCTTATCCGAGGGACTATTCCAGGTGGCTACCTGTTCCCCGGCCCAGGCCCAGGCCCTGGGTGCTCCGCCAGCTTGGCTGGGCCCTGGGCCTCTCTGCGGTTCCCCCTTCAGGAAGGGTGTGTGCCACTTTGTTTGCCACAGGGACTGGTTTCCAGTCCCTTCCCTGTCCCCAAATGGCCGCTTGGGGAGAGGAGAGCGCCACCACCACCAGTGCAGTCACCGCTGCTTCTCTGCCAAGGGCTTGGGTCCTTTTGGGGTTGGGGACCTTCCAAGGGATGTGGACCCAAAGGTGGAATGGCCACCAGGCATCCATGGCCTGGGAGCACTGGGCAGGTTCCCAGCCACACATCTGGCTCCCTGACTGTTTTTTTTTCTTCTTCCCCCAGATGTCTTGACCAGATCTCTGGCGCTCTTTGTGACTGAGGGTGGTCAAACTGCCACAGGAGGAGATAGGGTCTCAGAGTGAGAGCCTAGAAGGGGGAAGGGAAGAAGACGACCTTGATATTACTGCTGCAGGGCCCACACAGCCTCTCTTGGTTTGGGGGGCAAGGAAGGGGTCAAGCTGCAGACATACAGTCATTATTGCAGTCCACACCCCTGTGAACAGCAGGGGTGTGTGTGTGTGTGTGTGTGTGTGTACATGTTGGCACTCACACGCATGCTAGCCCACTTACACCCAGCCCAGGGTTGACAGTCCTTGACATGGTGACAGGATCGTCTTGGCCGGAGGAGGGGCTGTGCTTGTTTGTTTTTGTAATCCTCATCACAGTTGCTTTCTTTAATTGTTCCTCTCAAATAAATGGTTTATTTAAGATACTGAGCAAAGAGGGAAGCTGCCTCATGTGTGCCTTGGTAGGTTTTGGGACAGTGAGGAAGGAGGCTCTCACACTCTCTCACCTGCCCACCAGTGAAGAGAGCAAGGGACTCAAGTTCTACCCTACTCCCCACACCATGTTATCATTTGTCATCCGATGCTAGAACTGCCCATAAGCCCAACCGAGTTGCTGTTCATTCACTATCCATTTGAGGGCCACTCTGTGCTAGGGATTAGGCACAGTATTGGTCCTCCAGCATAGAGTCCCACATGCTTGGAGCTGGCGTTCTGGAGAGGAAGAAACAGTAGGTGCAGTGAATTAGAAAGTTCTGTGGTGTGTATACACCACCACAGACCCAGAATTGGCAGTGGAATTGGGCAGCTGGTCCTCAGATACCACATAGGGTCAGACTCCAGACCGGCTGCATGCAGGACCCAAGCTGGGGAGGGATATGGGCAGGCTTACATGTCTGAGTGTGTGTCTCTCTGACACTGTGGAATATGGGCTGCAAAGGCCCAGACTCGAGGCAGAAAGAGCCCTGTGCAGACCATTGGGCCACCTAAAGCAATAGATAGGACCTCCATCACGCCTCAACTTGGGATACTGCCAATACCTTCTCCACACCATAGCTGGAAAGGTCTCTAAAGCTGTGATTCTCCACCATGGAGACACAGCAGAGCGGGAGGACAGCTGGAGGGTGGTGGGAGAAGTTGTGGCCCAACAACATAGTGGAGGCTTTGCAAGTAAGCTGGGCCAGATAGCCAGAGAAACCCTCCTGGTCCAAAACCCCTAAAGTGTGGGCTGAAATCTAAAAACGTGAGGGAACCACTAACCTCGTAGGAAAATAAGGGGAAGGCTCTGATGTAAGAAGTGGTGAGGATCCTTGAGTTCAAAGGAGTGAACCAGCCCCAGGCCTAGCCCAGAGCCCAGGAGCATCTCCTATGTCCCAAGTCAGGAGACTCCACAAGGAATGCAGCCCCATCAACACCTTGATTTTAGTCCAGTGAAGTCTATTTTGGATTTCCGACCTCCAGAAATAGAATAAGTCTGTGTTGTTTAGAACCACTAAATTTGTGGTAATTTGTTATAGCAGCAACAAAACTACTAGGTGATCTAGCAAAAAAAAAAAAAAAAAAAAAGTCAAAGAAAGAGATGAGGATGTGTGCCTACCTCAGATCTCCCCCCAAGAATTTATATCCACAAGCTGAAATTTTTTCTTAGAGTATCCGAGGCATAAAGTAGTAGATGCTCCAGAATTTTTCTCTTGCAACAGTGATCATGTTGTAGGGGGGAGAGGCCCCTGAATTTGTCTTGAAACTGCATTTGATTATCTTACAAACAGATTTTACTTAACTTGTGACACCCAATAAAAATAACAAAGTTTAAAACATTAGGAAAATAAATTGTTTTAAAGTTCTAAATGAAGTGGTCCAGAAGTAGTGTTGCCCCAGAGTGCCCTGCAGAAGCAGACATAAATCTCCTATTTTAACCATAGGCCTCAAAAAATTCCTATAGAAAATTCTAAAATATGTAATTTTTAAAAATCACAAAAGTTATAAGGAAGTAAGCCAGTATGAGTGAGAAAAATGTAAACATATAAATTTAAGTATCAATCCTGCAAAGACAGCATATTTTGAAATTATATGACATAGAAGATAAAAGTAGTATAATCCATATGCTTAAAGAAATGAAAGTACAACAAAAGAACAAACGAATATAAAATGATCAGACTCTTGAAAAAAGACCAAATGGAACTTCTAGAAATTAAAAATATACAATTGAAATTGGAGATTCAAGCTATGGGTTAAGTAGCATATTAAACATAGCCAAAGAAAGAAATAGTGAACTGGAAGATGAATTTAAGAAAATTGCCCTGGCTTGGTGCCCGTAGCACAGTAGTTATGGTGCCAGCCACATATACCGAGGGTGGCAGGTTTCAACCCAGCCCCAGCCAGCTAAACAACAATGACAACTGCAACAAAAAATAGCCGGGCATTGTGGCAGGCGCCTGTAGTCCCAGCTACTTGGGAGGCTGAGGCAAG